GATGGGGTGGGTGGGGTAGGCGGATGGATGGATGCATGAGAAAGACGTGCTTTTTGCCTGCTATTTGTGATGTATTGTACAGTTAGAATGCTGGCTGATTCTAGGCGGTGTCCATTAACCGATAACATCAAAAACACTGACAAAAACACACCAATTACAGTTGGAATGCCTCCTCTTACGGGTCTTCAAAAAGGTTGGTTGGATGAATGGGTGGATGGTCATGGATAGATGGAGATGGATGGAAATGGGTGGGTGGGTGGGTGGATGGATGGATGGATGGATGGAAGGAAGTGGGTTTGTGGGTAGGTGGATGGATGGATGGATGGAAAGGGTGGATGGATGCATGGATGGATGGATGGAAGTGGGTTTGTGGGTAGGTGGATGGATGGATGGATGGATGAATGGATGGATGGATGGATGGATGGATGGACATGGATGGGGTGGGTGGGGTAGGCGGATGGATGGATGGATGGAAGGATGGAACACACAGTTGGAATGCTTCCCAATGAGGTGTTTCTGGGCAATGGATGATGGCTTGCAACCTATCCTATTTGCATGTTTCATGTGCATTGCGTTGACACTTCTGAGCCGTTTGCAAGCTGGCGATGGCGATGAACTCATATCAACACATATAAGGCATCATAACAGGCATTCTATCTGTTTGATCTGTCGTAAGGGTCGTTCTCTTTTGTTCTTTTTGTGGGCAAGCGATGAACTCATATCAACACATATAAGAAATCATAAAAAGGCATTCTATCTGTTTGCTCTGTGGTAAGGGTGGTTTTTTTTGCTCTTTTTTGTGGATTTTACAGGTGCCACGGCATTCTATCTGGGTCATGATGTCATGATTTTGGCATCCTTGATCATCCTTCCTGTAAACGGCTGATATCATCTAAAATCGGCATTGATATTTCCCAAACCGTCATTCTAACTTTCGGTCCTGGACTATACAAGTTGACCGTGCTGCTTGAATTGCTGTCAATTTCCTGACGGGGGGTCCATTTGATGGCTCGGCTCAGAAGGTGCCAGTGGGGAACAGCAGCTCCTAAGAGGGCCCTTTTATTAAGCACTTCGGGGCACCTTTTGGATCTACTTCGAAACCCAGTTGGTTGGAAGGCAGTTAAGCTAAGGAGACGGGGGTGACATCCATAGTCAGATTGAACAGGAAACTGCTTGGAACCACAAGGAGTTTCTTAAGCACTTCGCGAGTTTTGAAGATACTTGTGTTCAGAGGTGCCTGGACTTCCCACTTTCCTCCGCCTGCTTCCCGCTCCTCGCTCCGGGTCCAACGGCGGCTGAGATGTGAACGACACGCTGCCGGTGGCGCAGAAACTCATTGAGGGGACGATCTTCAGCCCAGAACCATTGGAGGCGACGGGAGAGTGGCAAGGGGAGACGGCATGAAGCTATCGCTACTAGGGTGGAGGCCAGCGCTAGTAGGGTAGAGGCCGCATGAAGCTGCAAGATGTGCTGCATGAAGCTTGTAGCCCCACAACTAAGGAATAGAGGGGGAGTCATGCAATTTGAACGCGGGATAGTGCAGCAGTGCAGTCTAATGCAAAATAATTGATTGAGGCACTGTAAGACTCTGCGTGCTGCAAGGGACCTGGAGGCAGAGGAACATTGCATTGCAAAATGGAAAATCAAGAATGACTGGCTGAAAAGGAATATATGTCACAACCATCACCCCAAACATCGCAATGGTTTTTTGGACTCCGAAACCAGACCGGGACAGCCTCCAAGCCTCCCGTCGCTCCGAGGCGGACCCGCAGGTGTGCCTTGGGGTGCGACACTTAGACCGACCCGAAAGGCTTAGGGAGTGGGCCCAGCGAGCTTGTAACGCGCATACCAGATCCCATGTCGACCTTAGGTCGTAAAGGTATGTTGTATGTCACTTTACATGTCCCAATGGGTTGTTCCTTCAAGACCCACCCCCAGTGAAAACCAACCCCAAAAGCTCCAAATCCGATTAAACAACTCAGAATCACACTCCACCTCTCCCATCCCCATCCGCTCCAATCTACCCCAGAAACCGAGGCTTCTGCTGCCTCATGGCTCACGATGGTCGGTGTTCTGTCCATTGCCACGGCGGATCTCTTCATCCTGCTCAGCGGGCTGACGCTGGGACGCGACACGGGACGATCGGCGATCGTCCGCCCGGGACCATTTGGGACCGACCGGTGAAAACGGTGCAAAGGATTGTATCAAGGGTTTGGGTGGGTGAGATGATGGTGTTGGGGCAGATGTGGTAGGTCCTAGCTGAGTAGTGTAGTACGTATGTATATGGTTCTTGGATGTAGCATGGTGAAGGGTGATCAGGTTTGCCAGTGAGGAACGAATTCCCAATTGCGCACAAAGTGGAGGCTTCTTGTACCTATAGATCACAACACCACTATCATTCAATAGATATTCTGTCCACATGACTGTTCTGTTTGCAAATCTTGGGCTATGAAACCAACCAAAAAAAAAAAACATGTTTGATCTCCTGAACCCTACACCTCCAGTCGTACCTCCTCAGAAGGGAGACTGGAATTTGCTAGCACCCACCCCAGTCCTACCTTCAACGAAACGGTTCGGTACGACTGGAGGTAGGGGAAGACACACCCCAGGTGCAAGAGCATTTTGCTCCTTTTGTTCGGTGGCTGGCTGGCCTTGCTGAGCGCCTTCGCCCTGCTCTTGGCGCTCGCGGGGCTCTTCCTGGTGGACGCCAAGCACCTGGGCACCGCGCCAGGCACCGCAGGGGAACGGAGGAACAGACCAAGGAACATCAACGCAGGAGTCACATGTCGGGGTGGTGTTTGATCCCCAAGTGAGTGGATGTTCTGGGCACCCCTAACCTCCATTAAGCACCTATCCCAGTTGGGCACCTCCAGGTTGAAGGACCCGAACTAGCCTATCCCAGTTGGGTACCCCGGGTGACAGGTCACTCAACCTCTCTTGGAGGGATAAGTTGTAGTAATAGGGACTTGGGGATAAGTTGTGCGATATGACTGGCGCCTTGCTTAGCTGGCTACTGCTAGAGTGAAATCGTGAAAGTGGAGTCAATGGATGGAACACTGACAGCAATTGAATGGCAGTCAGCTTTGGAAAGATCTTGTCATTGTTTTGTCGTGTTTTTCTTTCCTCTTTGGTTCTCCACGCGCCCCCCCCAGCCAAACCTACCACCCTAGGGACCGTGACTCTCTCCCGCCCAAGTCGAGATTCTTGGAACCAACTCCGGCGCTTCGTTTCATCTCCTGCCGCAGGGTGCGACTTGTGCTTGTAGGGAATGGATTACATTATGAATGGTACTCTCGGTGGCTCCATTCCCAAAGGATATGCCTTCCCTAACGGAATGCTTCTTCCTGATACTTTTTGGAGATTCCTTTTATGAATCCAAACGAAGGCTACTGGCTCGACCGAAGGCTGCTTGAAGGTCAAAAAAAAAAGGACCAAGAGAGGTTGAACAGCCCTATAGTCCATTCCATATGTATACCACTACAGGGTCCCAGTTCTGGTCTCTCAACCTCTCTTGGGACTCTCTTTTTGGGACCAAAGCAACCTCCCGGAGCGATAGCCACCTCGCTCCACCTGCCTCGCAGGGGTCATTCTGCTGGGCACCTCTGTGGCGATGGCCTTCGTGGGCGTCGCTCGGTGTGGAACAGGCCAAACCACCGGAGTGGGTGGAGTTTGCGAGGCTCGCCACGGGCGGTTGCGTTGCTTCTCTTTGGTTTCTGCAGCCTTTTTGGGAGGGGGGGGCAGTTGGTGGGTGGGTGGAAGCAGGGGAGCAGCAACAGATTCGTTCGAAGAGATTTTGCAGATGAGGCCTTGCATGATCTCATTATATAGGATGTACTGTCAGAGACTTAGCAAGCCAGTGTTCCAAGGGCAGTTTGGGTGTAAAGTGTAGTCAGTCGTATCATAACACAATATATGTTTAGTTTTCAGATATAGTACATAATATACAACTATTATATAGAAGGATGTGTTTCACTTGGATGATATAGAAGTAGGTTGTTTGAACGCATGGTCTTTCCACGCATTGACATATCATGGGAGGCAGCCCGGGGTCCTCCCCCCCCCCACCGTCCTTGACCCGAAAGCCACTGAGACCACCATGGCGCTCTACCAAGCGATGCGCGCCACACCCGACCGACTCCCTAAACCCCGCCCGAAGTGGAAGGCGTGGGGTCCCGGCTTTGCGTGGGGCGTGGCTGTGATGGGCCGGGTATAGAGGATTCTGGATGATTCAGGGTAGAGAGGATGGTGGGTTGAGCGCTGAAAAGGGACTGAAAAGGCGCTGAAAAGTCTTTGGTCATGTCTCTTGATGTGGCGATTTCTCTAAGATTCTACACCGATTTCAGGGGATTTCTGTTGCAGACTCTCCGAAAGAGCTTGTTTTCAGACCAGACTCTCTGACTCTGCAAGATTCTTGGGCCTCAGGAAGATGATGAAGAACTCACAGAGGAAGAGGTGCACTTCCGCTGTCCCGGGAGCGAGTTGGAAACCTGGAGAGGAAGAAGAAAAGAGTTGGAACTGCTGAAGCTTCGTGGAAATATATTGAGGTGCATTTAGTCAACTCCTTTACTTGAGGTCTCCAACGGAACGACTTTTTAGATGCAGCTCTGATACTGTTAAAAAATCAAACAAGGCTTCCTTAGCGTAGCGCAGTCCTCAACAGTGCGGTCCTCAAAGCAACAGATGCAGATCACCACCCAAAGAAAAAAATCCCTAGGCCTCCAGTCGTACCTTCTGAGAAGGTGGGACTGGGGTGGGTTTGGAGGGTCCAAATACCTTCTGAGGAGGTACGACTGGAGGTAGCAACAGTATATTACCAGGAGTCACAAGATGGGGTAGGCTTTTAATCCCATCCTGCGAGTGGATGTTCTGGGCACCCCGACTCCTCCAAGTTCGGCACCCCGTCTTGTGACTGCTGGTATGTAACATATATTAATTCAATCAATACTTACAAATCCTGAAAAGTGGTCATTCTGAAGGTCCGGCATGGTCCGGCATGCATGTGTTGAGTTTTGTTTCGCGTTCTTGTGCCAACAAGACATTGCCCTTGGATTTCCAGTTGTCGCCGCCTGGACTGCAGTTCTTCCTGGCCGCCAGGAGAAGAAGCGTGTTCAGCAGATTCTAGTGGAATGCTTGGACTACGACATCCCGCGTCTGGAGAGAACTCGAAACCCGTCCAAAACCAACTTTTGTTCACAAAGCCTATGACTGGCATCCAGTCATACCGTACCCTCACTCAGACACGACCCGTCTGGGACTGCCAGTCCGGACTGCCGATCAGCTAGGGTGGTTGACTGGGGGTCTGTCTGGGGCGGCAGTCCGTCCTGGCAGTCCCATGGAGTGTCCGAGGATCCGGGTCCAGTCGTTCGCTCGGGTGGTTAACTCGCGCACGCATGAGTCCCACTTGGGTTTGGGTGTCGAAGGGCACTCCCCAAAAAGAAGGGGCACCTGTTTGTAGAGGACACAGGTCATTCAAGGGATTGATGCCATACACTTCCGTTGTTTGATTTCAGGGAGTGTACACATCTTAAGGCCTCTTCGGCCTTGAGAAGCTCACTAAAGAAGATGTGAGTTGAGAATTTGCAGCCTCTCTTCCAGACCAATCGCTCCAAAATAGGCACATGTTCAGTGTTAGAGATGTTAGAGCAGGGAAGGGTACTTCAGTTCAGGACTTGTGGTAGTGGCTTCATGTTCAGTTCACTTTGGTGCTCTGAGCAGTGGCCCGCTGATTGGTGAAGTGGTCAGTGGTAAATTGATATCCCCACCCTGGTCTTAACACAAAAGAACTTGGTATAGAGACTTCTTGTATGTGCTCGTCCTTGACATAGGGTGTTTCTTGGGAATTTAATTTGCCGGGTTCCTTTTCAATGAATTCCTGCACTGGCAAAACCCGGATGGGCTCCCATCTCCTGCACTGTAGTCCATGCTGCTTGCTACGCACGCTGCGGCTATGCCTCACTTGTGCCATTTGCTGGTGCATGGCGATAAAGAACAGACTCAGACTCACCCAGTGAGCAAGCTATGTCACATTGTTCCATCAGGACCCACTGAGGTCCCATTTGTTGAGTAAGTTCCCAACAAATGTGCATCATGATCATCATGGTTTTGCGTCAAATGTGCTGCTGCCGGCAGGAGAGATATCGAGTCTCAATGAACATTTTGGAAGAATGCGCTGAAGAGGCACCCACTGCAACTGTTGCCTGTGTTGTTGTCAGGATTGCTTGGGTGTTGACAGGCTGAAGACATCGGTTTAGAGTTTACTGTAGAAGTTTAGCGGAGATCCCATATCACTATTGCTGATATTGCTGTCAGATGACTGTCATCCAGTCAAACAAAATCCAGTAAGTCATCCAGCTTATGATAGTCATCCAGTAGGTCAGATCCCTATGACTATCAGTTGTGTGATCTTACAAAACATTGCTTCAGCTGGACGGCTTGGTTTCGACCAATGCGAGAAGCATGACCCGCTTCTCTGAGAAGCATCAACCATAGCTCCGATTTGCCAGTGTACATGGCATGTCTCGGATCCTGTACAGACCAAGACAGATGTTCCAACGACTTCACCGTCGTGCCGTACGGACCCTGGATCATCCACTCACCCGACGGACCCGGTCGGTCGGGATTTTCAGACGGATGTGTGGTCGTAGCTCTGGGCCTGGCAGATAGCTCTCCATCCACCGACCGACCTGGAGGAGGGTGTCGAACTCGAACACCTAGACCATCCTAGGCCTGCAGGGTAACACCTTCTAAAGATGTAATTACTTGAAATCCCTAAAAAGGGATGGTGATCTTCGAGTTTGCTTGCTTGGGAGTTTGCTGGGTATTGCTGGGTCAATTTCACCCCTCGTCGTGTTTGTTTGGGCCGTATCCCTCGCCTCGTCTAGGAGGGTCGACCATGTAAAGAAGCCGATGGGTCACCACCCACGAGACGAGTGACATACGCGTGATACGGCCTCACTGCAATCAACAATGATGTGTAATGATTAAATAGGTGATTAAGAGAGGAGATCTTCCAGCCAAGAAATAAAACCATACACCATAAATTTATAAATATACCACATGTTTTTGGTTTAAACATGTGGGGCAGGCATTATCCCATATCCCAGATAGAATGCATGGTTGGATGTAGTTTGCCCCTTCTCGCCAGGAAATCTCCTATGAGGAATGGATCATTGAGGAGTGGTTGAAGAAACAACATGAAGCAAGACGGTCGACTGCACTAGTGAGCCATCCTTTGGACATGGGTTGGGTGCTTTGCAGCTCAAAGGATCTTAGGGTTTTAGACATGCGAGACTACTAGCCACCATTGACTATGAACAGCAACAACAACAACAACAGTAGTAGTAGCAACACAATAGCAACGACGACGACGACGACGACGACGACTACTACTACTACTGCTACTGCTACTGCTACTGCTACTGCTGCTGCTGCTACTACTACTGCTACTACTACTACTACTACGACTAGTGCTCATGTTTCGGTCTGGTTGGTAGGACATGAGTGTCACTTCTAG